AAGATATTTTTCTGTCATCCACATGAAAACGCAGATTTACGGCATTAAAAACGATTCTTTCAAAAACCTCCGACCAAAGTGAAGATCTATGAGTCCTCTGTTTATGCGTCTGTATGTGGACGTCACTAATCGGGTTTTAGGTTTCCAAACATCACTCCTGTGACAAAACATGTTCTTTACATCACATATGCGGCCTGTGTTTACATTTTTGGAAACAGCATGGACGCCCTCAGAACTTGTCCAGGCCCAGATACTGCTCCCTGTACAAGAACACAGGCGAAGGACGACATTAAGGACGGTTATTTTCCGCCACCTTACCATTTCATGTCCGAGGCATGTTCTCCATCAAAGACACCGACGCCAGTTTTGGGTCAGACCACTGCCAGCTGGTGGGAGAACGGAAATCGAGCTCCTGGAGGAATGGCGTGACAATTTCCGTATGTCCCGGTCGTCGCTCCTGTCGTCGGAGTTATTACATCCTCACGTAGAATATGAATGTGCTTAACAACACACTAATGCGGTTAGGTGTGGATGAATTATTTTCTAAAAACGAGGTGGTGTGTACGATAGTTTTTTGTTGTTAGTTTTTTGCTACGTGTGGACAAGGCCTTAGAGACCGACAACCAAGCACACTCACATTCACACCTACGGACAATTTAGAATCACCAATTAACCTCAACATGTTTTTGGACGATGGGAGGAAGCCGGAAAACCCGGAGAGAACCCACGCTACACGGGGAGAACATGGAGACTCCACACAGAAAGATCCTGGGTGTCCTCACCAGGACGCGAACAGGCGACCTTCTTGCTGCGAGGCAACGCCACCTTGCAGCCTCTGTTACAAAATGCGCTAATTTCCTTTAGTAGTTTCATAGTTGTGGTTGTTTGGTTGTTCGTTGTCTTTTCCTCGCTTTCGGTCTTTCTGCCTTCTGTGCATTCTTCAGAGAAATCATGTAACCATAAGCGCTGGAATCATAAAAGCTCTTAAAACTAGTGTCCTGTATCCAAAGCCATCTATTACCTCAACACATTTCAATCACGATGTGGAGGGAAAACGATGAGAGCACCAGATGACGATGCCCGGCTGTTCTCAGGCTGTTCCACCTCATCAGCTCGACCTCCTCGACTCCTGGATTCAGAACTCCTGGGAGGAAAGTGTGTTTCTCTCCCTTTGGAACAAATGACTCTCCACAGACATGCAAGAACGACTACAGCCTCTGCTTACAGAGGCAGGGAGGGATAAATGAGCTGAAGATATGCACGGGGTATGGCAGGAGGAGGGGAAGGAGGCAGAACGAGTGTCGGCCTGTGTAGGAGGAGCCACGATTTAAGAAAAATAAAGAAAAAAAAAGGGGATGTGGTGATAAAGGAGGGGTTGGAGAGCATGACATGATGGAGCCATAACATAGAAGAAAAAAAAGGGATAGGGGGGCGACTGACATACAATGGCCTGCCTACGTTCTGAACAAAAAGCAGCATCCGTCACTGATGCATGTTCATGTATGTTTTCTGCCTAGCACAGAACCCAACACGCGTTTCTCTGTGACCAACCAAATCGGCTACACCTGCTTTCACAGAAGAAGAAGAAATGAACTGCTCGGTTTATGTGGCAGCTTTATGAGCAGTGGGAGGTTTAGCAATTATAAAGGAAGCAAAACAACATTAACTTCAAGCACCAGCATATCCGACTTAGAGAGCACTCATAGCTTCTTAAAATGATTGCCTGCCAGGCACAATTTAGACACATAAAGCACAAAAGCAACTAGCAGCGAGCTCTGATTATTCTCATCAAACAGGACAGAGACTAAGCGCTTCTCCAAGTGACGAGGTTGGAGAGCTCAAAACACTCCAGAGACGCCTGATCGTTGCAGCGATGGGTCTGCGGAGGAGATTTTGTCGGGATTAGACCGGCTCACTGTGGATGAAATGGCTTTTTTTTTCTTTTTGAGGAATTTAAATAGCCCCATGCACTTGGTGTCCACTGGAATTTGTTTGCAGCTAATACAGCAGCACCCAATACAGAGAAACGCGACCTCGCTTTCAGGACTTTCGTCATGCTTTCCATTTTTTTTTTGTTTGGAAGACACAACTGCACCTGTAAACCACCAGACCAGCTCGTGAAAAACAACAAGTGCACAATCAAAATGCCATAATTACAGCCGAAACAATGAGGCGTTTGGGCTGCATCTGGCAGTCAGGTTTTGCGCTGCATGTATGGTGCCACATTTACAATGGTGCCGGTTTCATGTGGCCCATTTGCTCCAGGATGAATAATGGTGTGGCGCGCCGTCAGCACTGCAACATTTGCTGTGGTGCCCCGACAATACCTGCAACCATCTGTTAGCAAGGTGGGGCTATAAACACAGCACTCAGTCCCACCGTAACACAATAGAGGCCGTTTGACTGGAGACATTCAAGGCAGGTTTTTAACTGAAAACATGCAGCGAGTGATGAAAAGAGGTGGTCACATGGCTACGAGGAGCAATTCAAGAATCAGCCAGTAACACTCCTAAATATAGAAGGCTACTTCAATGCAAAATGAACACATGACGAATTGCATTTTTTATGTAAACAATATTTTATAAAGTATATTTTGGTTTGAAAATAGGGACTAAAAACCAATGACACTACATTCACTTAGAGCTGAAGTCTAATCCAACCATATGGACACCGGATCAGGAATCGGAGTGTTGAAATTCTCTCCCTTTTTCATTCAGTATTACATTTCTGTAGAGGAAACTTCACGCTGATGAGATCGCCCTGCGTTTATATTAAAGGTGAAATCACTGATGTGGACACATTAAATGTTTTCATTTATGAGTGAGGGAAGCAGAAGAATCCTTGGGAAATAAAACTCAGTTTAAAAGCATTAGATCTCGAAAAGTTCAGAAGATAGATTGAAGTGGTTTTGTCGCTCTCTTTCTCCTTAACAATCATGAGCAGACATAAAGGGGCTGTTTTATTCCTAACTGGTCCAAAGATATTTTGAAAGTGTTCTAGGTTTGCTGAAGCGTTAAAGAAAGAAATCCAATTTTATTTTTTATATTTTTTCAATATTACTATTTTGTATCAAACAAAGCTTCCATTTCTCCACCTTCAGTCACGCCTTCATTACATCACGTATTGACGACTGTAATAGCATCCTCCTTGGTACCGCCACCAACCTCCTCAATAGACGACAGTACATCCAAAACTCCGCCGCCCGCCTCCTCACCCACACCCGTTCCCGAGACCACATCACCCCCTGTCCTTCAAAACCTTCACTGGTTTCCCATCTCATACCGCATTAAATTCAGAATCCTCCTCCTCACCCATAAAGCGCTCCATAACCAGGCCCCCTCTTACCTCAAAGACATGCTCCACCCCTTCATGTACCCTCCACTCCACTAATGCCAACCTCCTGATTGTTCCCAGGACCAAACACCGAACCTGGGGGGACAGGTCCTTCTCTGTCTGGAATTCTCTCCCACAACACATGCGTGACACCACAGACCCGGCAATTTTCAAATCCTGTTTCGCTCTGCTTCTCTCACTTAAACCTTCATTTTGATGTCTTGTGTTGTTTTTATCTGCTTGCTTGAATTTCTGCTTAGTCTATTTCTGTATTAGTTGCTTTAATTGTTCTTTTATCCTGTAAAGCGTCTTTGAGTTTTTGAAAAGCGCTACACAAATAAAATGTATTATTATTATTATTATTATTGTTGTTATTATTTCAGTGTCTTCATCACCTTGTCGGCATGCAATCTGCCAGTATCAGACGACAGTCATTTCTTCTTTTACATAGTCTTCTGTTGAAGGTAAATTACCCATACGACACCAAGTCAGTAAAAAGCTTGAAGTTTCAGAGTGCTGTGCTGCATCTAGAAAATTAAGACACTATATATCTCAGTGGTTTGTTTTTCACAGGTCCAGTCTGTACATGTGCTGTAGGTGTAACCAGTAAACAGATGACTGATCATTGTAAATAGACACCACACTGGATTGAGTACACCTCACATGGCTCACTGGCTGGATCCATTAGTGTTTGGATTTGATTACACATCTGCCTTCAGTATCTTCTACATGACAAACCCTCTGGGACAGATTTGCTTTTTCTATCACACCTCTGGACAAAAACTCCCACCAAACTTGTGATCCACCACTACTGAACTCAGTTCTTTAAGTTGAGGTTTAAAACTTTTTTTTTTTTGCTTCTGACTTTTATGAAGTAAGTTGTATTCATAGGTTGCACAGCACTGAAGTTGCACTGTAATGTCTTTTTCTGATTTTGCTTATATTTTGTCTGAAATCCTATTTATATGTGCATTTTTCTTATGATTACGTATTTCTTTGGTTGCTTTGTTGTGATGCATTTTTCCCTCCTTTTCTTTAAAATCACCTCAACATTAAAAGGTACGACACAAATTAATCTGCATCGCTACTTTACTTTTGGAGTGCACTTCTGACTCAGGTAAAGTTATGCTATAACACAGTATGTAAGGTTTGATTAGGCATTAAATAAACTTTAGGTTTCAAATAAGTTGTGATTGTAGCACTTAAAAATAATCACAGTCTAATAATTCAATCACAAATAAAAGCGGTAAACAAGCAATAAGCAGGCTGTCTAATAAGAACGTGTTCACAGTTAAGGTATTTGTGGCTCAGTGACTCATGTCCAGCACCGTCCAGCTCCTGGCCAGGCTGCTCCAGCAGGCAGCTGTCCATGGTGCTGAATGGGAGCCACAGATGGCACTGCATGAATGGACTTTTTTTTTTTTTCACAGTTTTCAAATATTGTTATTTTTTTACTGCAGTGTGAATCGCAAAGTTCTTTTATAAACAGCAGAAAAACCCAAAAATAACGTGTCAGTGTTGTGTAAAGCTACTGGCAGCAACTCTGTGCCCAACTCAGAGATTAACTCATAGGCAACACCACATATCACGTGCAAGCAGGCTGTAAAACTAATATGTCTGAATGACTTTTGGCAGCAGGGAAAACAAATGTGAACATTGTGACTTACTTGGCACCCTGTTGATCGCTTTAAGAGGCCGCAGCACCCTCACTGTTCGGATGGCGGTGAAGTTGACATTCTGCAGGTCGAGAGAGTATTCAACCATCCTGGAAGATGTACACAAAATAGAGAAACAAGTTAACATCACAAATATTTGTCTACAGTCTATAAGGAGTGTCAAAGAGGACTACAGTGCCTACAGAAAGTAGTTTTCTCCCTTCGTTGCTTTTTAACATGGAGTCATGGCCAATTTAATTTGCTTTTTTTAGAAGAATTTTCCCAAAAGAATTATTTTATTTTAATGTGAAAACTGATTTCTACAAAACAGGTGACTGAATAAATATTCACCTCCTTCAAGTCAGTATTCAGCAGATGCACTTTTGGCTGCAGCTACAGCACTGAGCCTGTGTGGATAAGTCTGTCAGACTTGCACATCTGGACACTGCAGCTTGCATGGGGATCATAAGGGAACACCCTGTCACAGCCACTCCAGAACATTCCCCTTGTTGTCTTTAAACCCTTCTGTGTAGTTTTGGCCGTATGCTTTGGGTCACTGAGAAAAAGCCCTCCAGGGCCTGCTGCCAAGAAGCATCGCCACACCATGATGCTGCCACCACCATGCTTCACGGTGGGGATGATGCCTTGGTGTCCATCAAACATAGTGTGTACACCAATGAAAAAAAAAAGGTCTACTTTGGTCTCATCTGACCAAAGAATGTCCTTCCAGTTGACTTCAGAGTGTCCCATATGCCTTCTCAACAGGCGGCTGTGGCTCAGGTGGTAGAGCGGTTTTCCTCTGATCGTAAGGTTGGCGGTTTGATCCCCGCCCCTCCACAGTCCAAGTGTCCTTGGGCAAGACACTGAACCTGAAGTTGCTCCCAATGGCAGACAGCACCTTGCATGGCAGCTCTGTTACCATTGGTGGATGGATGTGTGTGTGAATGGGTGGATGAGAAACACATTGTAAAGCGCTTTGAGTGGCGCTAAGGTAGACAAGCGCGACATAAGTGCAGATCATTTACCATTTACCATTCTGATGAAGCTGAGATTTAATATGAACTTTGTTCAACACTCTCCCATAAAGCTTTGACTGGTGACAAGCAGGCAACAGTTGCTCTGCACACTCTGCCGCTGAAGCTTGTAACTCCTTCCTTCGGAGGAGTCATATGAGTCTTGGTGGCCTCCCTCGCTCATCTGTTTCTTGCAATAGTCACTTGTTTTTTGAAGTTGGCTCACTCTTGACAGATGTGCTAAATACCTTCCATTTCTAAATGATGGATTTAACTGTAGACTGAAGGGCTCTTCAGTGGCTTGGACATTTTCTTGCATCCATTCCCTGACTTCTGCCTTTTAGTAACAATTCAGAGTTTCCACCAGATGCATCCAAGTCAAATCAGGTGAAAACCATTCTTTTTAAAGGGGCTTTTGTAGATTGTACATTTGGTATTTAAATAAACTGGCATTACTTTATTCTGACAATAAAGATTTATTTTCTTCGTACAATTTTGTCAAAAAAAAGCATAATTATACTGGTCATGATTCAAAGTTGAAAAAATAATAAAAACAGAAAACTTCCAACGGGGATGAAAAGATTTTATGGGCACTGCAAAACCAAGAGCAACGCAAACAAAATCAAAAACAGAGAACAACCAGTACAATCTATGTGATCGTTGCAGGGGAGCAATTTCATCTCAACCAGCGACTGCAGTTGAATTAATGTACTCCTCCCTCCAAGTTTGTTCCTATTAAAAAGCTTAAATAGAAGCACACACACACACCCTCGCACAGTCGGGGTCCTGCTGTGCTGAGTCTAATATGAATTAATAAAGTGGAATACGCGTACCCGATAATGTGAGACATTCAAAGAAACGGGGGTCAGTGGAACACTCTGTAATTTTTACCGTGTCGGCAACAAGAAAGCATCTGTTTCTACGCCTCTAAACACAAAGTGGGACAACACGGCCATCGATCGGTTTGCAGCTAAGCATGAATATCAATGTGTGTAGGTGTACTGCTTTACATAGTCAGCAAAGTGCAGCACTGGCAGAAAGAGAAACTGCCATTTCTTCATTTTGACTCAGGTGGAGGAAGATGTCAACATACAAGTGAATAAGCGCCAAAAAAAAAGAAATCACTCCTGCATCCCTGGAAACTGGCAATACCTTTTAGCAAATGTAGTGAAAGCATCAAAGTGTATCCTGTTGGTTCGCGGGCGTGCACAAGCATGAGAGGCGTGAGATTAAACGTGCAACCATCTGAGATGAAAGCAGAGCCTTGTGAAGGAGCAAAGATGGGAGGTGGAGGGAGTAAACAAGCTTGAAGAAAAACTTGGTGTGGAATAATGGAGACAGAGAAGGAGAGGAAAGATCAAGTTATTTTTTTTTTTTTTTTAGCTATTTGACCTATTTCTGACAAATATATTGCCGGGAAAACATACTTTGCCTGAAGAATGGCAGACAGAGAGACAGTGGGAGTGCAGAGAATAGGAGGGAGGACAGACAGAGGGAGAAAGAAAGAAGAAAGTAGAGAGATGACAGGGGATCGGGAAAGTGCGAGATGAGGACAGAAAGATCAGAAACCTACGTGAGTCAAGCACCGAGAGTTGATTAAGTGCAATATAATGAAGGCAATAAAGCAAAATTGAGAGCGGGAGAGAGAAAGCGAGAGCCTGAGGGGTTTATCAAGTGTTGGAGATAATTATGTTAGGAACAGAGAGACAGAGGAGGGAGCAATATGCATATACCTGGCTGAACAGAGGGAAGCTGCTCTCAGGCTGAGGAGGAGGAGGAGGAGGAGGAGGAGGAGGAGGAGGTGGTTGGTTGTCAAAATGCGGGAAAGAAAAGTACAAGAAACTGAGGCAAGTTTCAGGTATTTGACACGAGTATTCTACGACTACGCCGATATTTCAGCGCTCCATGACAGCAAGCTCATTTCAATGGAGAGCCTACCAGGTGATTCTTCAAGTGATTATAAAGCTCCAGCCAATTATTGGCTTTCAACCTTGCGACCGACCCAAATGGAAAAGAGTCTGAACAAAATGACAGTGAAAGGGTTTGAAAACAGAATCTTGCGAGGTTTCAAAGTTGGAAGAGGAGTTACAAGATGTGAGGACGCAGCGAAACGTCAACCACCGAGGCTGGAAACTGAAGCCAATGCACAAGTGCCAACAGTTGCAGTTCCTCAAATGACCACTTGAGGCTGGCTCTACAGGTAAGTTAGTCTTCATAGACCACAATGTTAAAATGCTCAACTTTGTAGCAGAAAAAAGTCATGTTTTACAGCCTGGTTCACAGACCGTTTTGGTCTCTGTAGCTAATTAGCATGTTTATTACAACTATACGCAAGTATGGGAACATTTTCATACAATTCAACCAGCTTTAAGGCTCAAAGTTGGGGTGGTCTGAATAGTATTTTCTGTTTTCTGGATATTCGGCCCAATTACTGACGAATATCCCGAATAGTTGGGAGGGGGTGGCGGGTGAGTATTCGTTACGACGGAGGGGGAGTTGTACAAGTTCCGACGGGCCGGAAGTACTGTATCTGCCAACGCTGTCGATGTCGGTGTCGGCGGCAGGGGGTGGGCGATATTCGAAGATCAAAATTGATATCCGGATTCCAATTCCAAATAGTCGGCTATTCGGATCCAGCTCGAGCTCAAAGTACCACATAATCAAGGGCGTAGCTGCTTCTTCGTCTCATCTCAGCTCCACTCACCCTCCACCACATTTCTGGGCTAACTGCTAGTTAGAGGAAGTCAGGCACTGATGGCAACAACCAGAGACACCACGCAGAGCTTCCAAAACCCCTTTTCAGGAAGCGTCAATATCACAAAGGGGTCACCCGCTGTCATATATCTAAAAATGTAATTCAGGAGGTTGAACAAAAGAAATAAAAACATTACTACGTTTGCCAAGATCCTAAAAATAAAATTAACACCAACTCAGATTTAAAGGTCAGCTAGAAAAGACTTCCCAAAGATGTACGTCACTGAAGTTGGAGAAACTTGACCAGGCTAAGTCGAACAGGTCAGCTGTACTGGGAATCCACATCGGGTCAAAGGTGAAACTCGTGAACAGAACAGTTTGTTTTATTCCTTGCAGTCCAGCAACCACACCTCAGTCCATCGACCAGACTTCTATGCATGCTTCAAAGCATCTGGACCTAACTCAGTGAACCATAAAACATGAATCTCTCCTGTCGCCAGCGTATTGCCGTAACCTTGCCGGTGACAGAAAGCAGCGGCGGCCTCATTCTTCTGCGGGTGCTCGACAAATCAGACAAAAACGCACTAATAAAACACGCTGACCATGAAAAGTAAGGTCAGAGTTCAGAGAGTACCTAGATTGCGTGCGGCCACAAAGGCTGGTTTCTTGGTGTGTGGCCGTGATCTAATCTGACAGGTGGTTTGTCTGAGTGTGGAGCAGAGTGAACACAACGTCCCCAGGAAGAAATAAAGTACCTGGACTATGAGAGGTTAAGCCAAAGTACAGAGCACAGCGATGGAAAGAAAACAAAATTATATGAATTGCCCGAAAAGAAAATTAAAGGAAGGGACGTGTATTTAAAGTTAAATGTTCAAAGCACAGTTGTGACTCGATAATCCGACCCTTGACAATCTGAAAACCTTGCTATCTGACAGGTTTGTAGGAAAAACGGACAGAACCCATGAAAAATAGCCTTAACATACCGACAGCCTTGGATTCTGACTCAGACATGACATTTTATGTCACAAAGTGTCATTGGGCAAGACACTGAACCCAAAGTTGTTCCCAATGGCAGGCAGCACCTTGCATGGCAGCTCTGTCACCATTGGTGTATGAATGTGAAATGAAATGAAATGAAATGAAAAATACTTTATTTATCCCAGAAGGGAAATTCAATCTTGTAAAAGCTCACTTTTTTTTTTTTTTTCTCAATCAATACAACATATATTCTATACAACAACAACAATCATTCAGTCAGTCAGATTTGTAATGTGTGTGAATGGGTGAATGAGAAACATATTGTAAAGTGCTTTGGATAAAAGCACTATATAAGTGACCATTTACCACAGAAACAAAATGCTTCGATACTGTTACACGCTGGACATCAGACGTAAAATTGCATC